TGTTCAGTTCATAGTGCAGTATCATTATATCATAGAAAAGATTAAAAACAACTACTGCAACTACATACTTCAAATTACTAAGATCATTTTTGGCTTTCTGAGTCTCATCAGATCCAAAACGTTCATTGCCCCACAGCTCAGCCGCCGTGTGTTGGAGCACGTGGAGCAGCTTCAGCAAACTCTAAAACATCTCCTTTTTCTTCCTAAATCATCTTTCGGAGCTAAAACCTAACGCAGGTTCTAATCAAGGTGATCGGAAACTTTATTTTTCACCTTGATTTGATGGAACAACCTGGTCCTGGGTCCAAAGAAAACAAAAAAAATGTACTTAAAATGGTTTTACTTTAACTCAACGACAAAAACAACAACCATTTTGGCAGCTTGGACTTGTTTTCTGTACATTATTAGTGAAGTAACGAGGCCTATTTTTACATGAGGACATATTTTCTGTTGCCTAATATTTCCTCCACTGAATAAACAAACTGTGCCCCAGTCCAGACTTTGACCTTTTTAAATCCAGACTCCAAATCTCTTCAGACGGATTTTTACTCTCAGTGAAATGCTCAGCCCCCAAACTCAGGTCCCCAGAGTCACAGGCTCCACGTCCCCAGAGTCACAGGCTCCGCGTCCCCAGAGTCACAGGCTCCGCGTCCACAGAGTCACAGGCTCCGCGTCCACAGAGTCACAGGCTCTGCGTCCACAGAGTCACAGCTCCGCGTCCACAGAGTCACAGGCTCCGCGTCCACAGAGTCACAGGCTCCATGTCCCAGAGTCACAGGCTCCGCGTCACAGGTCCACAGAGTCACAGGCTCCACGTCCCCAGAGTCACAGGCTCCGCGTCCCCAGAGTCACAGGCTCCGCGTCCACAGAGTCACAGGCTCCGCGTCCACAGAGTCACAGGCTCCGCGTCCACAGAGTCACAGGCTCCGCGTCCCCAGAGTCACAGGCTCCATGTCCACAGAGTCACAGGCTCCGCGTCCACAGAGTCACAGGCTCCGCGTCCACAGAGTCACAGGCTCCGCGTCCACAGAGTCACAGGCTCCGCGTCCACAGAGTCACAGGCTCCGCGTCCACAGAGTCACAGGCTCCGCGTCCACAGAGTCACAGGCTCCGCGCAGAGTCACAGGCGTCCACAGAGTCACAGGCTCCGCGTCCACAGAGTCACAGGCTCCATAATCCGTGTATCATTCGTTCATTCGTTTTTCAATATAAAACCAAAAATAAGAAAACGAAAAAACAACAGTTTTCTTCGTTATTTGTCTCCAAAACCAAAATGAAAAAACAGATAATGATTCGTTTTTTCAGTTTTCGATTTTGTGTTTAAATGAAGAATGGAAAAAACGGATAACGGCCGTTTCCCGTTTACGTGACTTCTGTGACTGCGATGCCGGACTTTTGCACCGCATACGGACTGAATCAGGACTGATCCAGGTCCGAGACCAGAGCGAGACCAGACCGGGACCAGGGCGGACTCCGAGCTTTGACTCCGGGCCTCCACGGGGTCCGAGCCTCAGCTTTGAGCTCCGGCCCTGCCGTGGGCTCTGAGCCTCCGGTCTGGTCCCGGTCTCACCGCATACGGACTGAATCAGGACGGATCCAGGTCCAAGACCAGAGCGGGACTGAGACCGGGACAGAGCTGCTCTGGTTCTCCGCGCTCAAGAACCGCGGCTGGTTCCGAGGTGGTGCAAAGCCTCCGACTGACGCTTTCACACCAATGAAAATGAATCGAACTAAGAGCTTTTGGTTCAAATGGACCAGGTCCGGGACCAGACCAGACCGGGACCAGAGCGCTACTGAGACTGGGACCAGACCGGGACCAGAGCGGGCCTGAGACCGAGACCGAGACAAGACCAGAACCAGACCGGGACCAGACCGGAGGCTCAGAGCCCACGGCAGGACCGGAGCTCGAAGCTGAGGCTCGGACCCCGTGGAGGCTCAGAGTCAAAGCTCGGAGTCCACCCTGGTCTCGGTCTGGTCCCGGTCTCAGTCCCGCTCTGGTCTCGGTCTGGTCCCGGTCTCAGTCCCGCTCTGGTCTCGGTCTGGTCCCGGTCTCAGTCCCGCTCTGGTCTCGGTCTGGTCTCGGACCTGGATCAGTCTTGGTTCAGTCCGTACGCGGTGCAAAAGTTCGGCATCGCAGTCACGGACGTCACGTAAACGGGAAACGGCCGTTATCCGTTTTTTCCATTCTTCATTTAAACACAAAATCGAAAACTGAAAAAACGAATCATTATCTGTTTTTTCATTTTGGTTTTGGAGACAAATAACGAAGAAAACTGTTGTTTTTTCGTTTTCTTATTTTTGGTTTTATATTGAAAAACGAATGAACGAATGATACACGGATTCTCCATGTCCCAGAGTCCACAGATCCGGTCGTCGAGGTCCACACCTTTGACCTCCACCCAGATCTCAGCACCGGCCCCGTATGGCTCCTCCCGCGGGTGGTGGCTCCACAGGAGGGCGGCTCCACGTCGCTCCTTCGGGCCGAGCTCCACCAGGCATCACCATCGAGCTCCCACCCCAGGCCTGGCTCCAGAGGGCGGGGCCCCAGTAACACCGATCCTGGTGACGTTGCTGAACTCTAGTTGTTCTTCATCTGCCACTGTGAGTTGTTTTAATGTATTTATAATGACTTGTGAGACCTGGGACCTGATCTATCATCATCATGTGACTCATGTAAAAGAGTTGAGTCACACGAGGAGCAAACATCTGGTCCTCGTCAAAAACTGCTGGTTTCGGTTTCTGCAGATGTTTTGATTTCGAGTATTATTTTTATTTTTACTCGTGTTTCTAGTGATTCAAACGTGCAGAGAAATAACGACGACGTCACGTCAGACTCTGGGAGAAGAAGAAGAACGAGCAGGATTACACTGAGGTTACATCATCCTCTCTCACTTCCTCTCTCCTGCTCTCACTCCCTTCTCTCTCACTCTCTTTTCTAACTCTTTTCTCTCCCTCTTTTCTACTACTCTATCGCTTCTCTCTCTGTCCTTATCTTTTCTATCCCTCTCTCCTGCTCTCTCTCTCTCTCTCTTATTCCCTCTTTTCTACCTCTACCTTTCTTTGCCTCTGTAGTACTCTGTAGTACTCTGTAGTACTCTGTAGTACTCTGTAGTGCTCTGTAGCACTCTGTCTAAAAATACACACTAGTAGTCTGTTCCTCTTCTCCTTTCTCTCCCCTTCTGCTTCTCTCTCTCCTCTGTTCCTCCTTTCTCGTCTCCTCCTCTGAGCTTCCTCAACCATTTCCTGCAGAATCGAGGAGAAGGAATCGAGGAGAAGGACTCAAGGAGAAGGACTCAAGGAGAAGGACTCAAGGAGAAGGACTTGAGGAGAAGGAATCGAGGAGAAGGAACCGAGGAGAAGGACTCAAGGAGAAGGAATCGAGGAGAAGGAATCAAGGAGAAGGAATCAAGGAGAAGGAATCAAGGAGAAGGAATCAAGGAGAAGGACTCAAGGAGAAGGAAGGAGAGGAAGGAGAAGGAATCAAGGAGAAGGACTTGAGGAGAAGGAATCGAGGAGAAGGAATCAAGGAGAAGGACTGAGGAGAAGGAACCGAGGAGAAGGACTCAAGGAGAAGGAATCGAGGAGAAGGAATCAAGGAGAAGGAATCAAGGAGAAGTAATCAAGGAGAAGTAATCAAGGAGAAGGAATCAAGGAGAAGGACTCAAGGAGAAGGACTTGAGGAGAAGGAATCGAGGAGAAGGAATCAAGGAGAAGGACTTGAGGAGAAGGAATCGAGGAGAAGGAATCGAGGAGAAGGAATCAAGGAGAAGGAACTGAGGAGAAGGAATCGAGGAGAAGGAATCGAGGAGAAGGAATCAAGAAGAAGGACTCAAGGAGAAGGAATCGAGGAGAAGGAATCGAGGACAGAGAAATGAGCTGCGGCCAAACTGTAAACAAAGCGACGCCAAAACTTAAGACAAAATAAAACGACTTTATTTGGCCCACGATGGAAAAAAAAACAGCCACATTTCAGTGCTTAAGTGGAGAAACTGCAAAATATTGCACAAAAAAAAAAAACTCCAACAAAACCAAAACAAGAAGGAAAGTAAAACACAAAAAGAACAAAAACAAAAATAATACAGTGTGACAAAAACAAACCAAAATATAAACAAACTATATGAACTGTTTGTGTTTGTTGTGAAGTGCACAGCTGCTGATTTTCTACATTCTGAGGCGTTGGAAGCTGGAGGTGTGAGTGTCTTGCCCAAGGACACGACGGCAGCGTTCACCGGAGAGCGGGAATCGAACCGGCGACCTCCTGGTGAGCGGGCGAGAGCACCACCGACTGAGCCGCCGTCAGTCGTAAAAGTGCAACGTGTAACTTTTGGGTTTTGGTCCGTCACTAAACCGTGAGTCACTCGATCACTGGTTTTTCAAAATAAAACGAAAAATAAGAAAATGAAAAAAAAAAATTTTTTTTTTTTCTAAAAAAAAAAAATGAAAAAAAAAAAAACAGGTCTAAACCAGGACTAAACCAGGACTAAACCAGGTCTAAACAAAAAAAAAACAGGTCTAAACCAGGACTAAACCAGGACTAAACCAGGTCTAAACCAGGACTAAACCAGGACTAAACCAGGTCTAAACCAGGTCTAAACCAGGACTAAACCAGGTCTAAACCAGGACTAAACCAGGTCTAAACCAGGTCTAAACCAGGACTAAACCAGGTCTAAACCAGGACTAAAACTAAACCAGGACTAAACCAGGTCTAAACCAGGTCTAAACCAGGACTAAACCAGGTCTAAACCAGGACTAAACCAGGACTAAACCAGGTCTAAACCAGGTCTAAACCAGGACTAAACCAGGTCTAAACCAGGACTAAACCAGGTCTAAACCAGGACTAAACCAGGTCCAGGTCTAAACCTAAACCCAGGCTAAACCAGGTCTAAACCAGGTCTAAACCAGGTCTAAACCAGGACTAAACCAGGCTAAACCAGGACTAAAACTAAACCAGGTCTAAACCAGGTCTAAACCAGGTCTAAACCAGGTCTAAACCAGGACTAAACCAGGTCTAAACCAGGTCTAAACCAGGTCTAAACCAGGTCTAAATTTTACTTGACAACTTTTCTTAAAATAATCGACCTCTAGACGAGAACGAAACGTCTCAGAACGAATAAGTCGAAAATAAATCTAAAAATTTGCCGTGTAACTTTTCGGTTTGTGGGTCCTTCACCTGCTCGTTTCTACGGATACGTGATTGCTCTGCTTGGAATGTTCCACAGTGTGACTTTAAACTTACTCAAACACAGACGGTTTTTTTTACGGCTCAAAAATACCTCGAAAAACACCCGATCTGACCTGGAACTCGGTCTGGACCAGGTCTGGTTTGGTTTCCGCGACGACAGAAACGTTTAATGCCACGAAAGTTACACAATGCACCTTTAAAAACGCCGAGGGCCGTCGTGTAAAAGTTATAAAATACAGTATATTGCGAGTACATGACCTTCATTTGTCGCCGCGATAACTCGAGTCTGCGTTGTTGTTTTGTTTGGTTTTTTTAAAAACGGTAAATACAAAAACTTTAGAAGCTCTCGACGTCGGGTTTTGTCGTTCGTCAAAGCTGCGGTCTGACCACGAGGCTCACGTCGCACTCCTCCTCAATTTTCGGAATAAAAAAGTCGATCTGGAATGAAAAAGAAGCGGAGAAATTGCGTTAATCGAGCAGCGAAAAAAAAAAAAAAACACAAAGGAGCGCGAACTGTGGCGAGGTGAGGCGGAGTCTTACGTTGTTGTTGAGGATGTCTTTAAAAAGTTCCGGGTTGGGCTGCGGGACTTTCGGGTAGATTATGTCTTTATGTCTGGAACAAAAGGTAAATTCAGAAAAATAATCAGAATAATCAGGTCAAAGGAATAACGGATTGTTTTGGACGGTAACCAGTGTCGGGGAGTAACAGATTACACGTACCGGAGTAATCAGAGTACAAATGATGAGTAACGGTATTCAGTTACAGTTACTGTTTCAGTGAGTGGGAATTGGATTACAGTTACTTTGTTGGAATAAATGGAGGATTACACAGAGGGATTTTACTGTTTTCACATTTCGGGCTATAACCCTTTTTTTTTTTTCTTTTTGTTTTTTCTCCCATAATTCCACTCAAACCAGGTCTAAACCAAGATTAAACCAGGTCTAAACCAGGTCTAAACCAGGTCTAAACCAAGATTAAACCAGGTCTAAACCAGGTCTAAAACCAGGTCTAAACCAAGATTAAACCAGGTCTAAACCAGGTCTAAACCAGGTCTAAACCAAGTAAACCAGGTCTAAACCAGGTCTAAACCAGTAAACCAGGTCTAAACCAGGTCTAAACAAGTCTAAACCAGTCTAAACCAGGTCTAAACCAGGTCTAAACCAGGTCTAAACCAAGTAAACCAGGTTAAACCAGGTCTAAACCAAGATTAAACCAGGTCTAAACCAGGTCTAAACCAAGATTAAACCAGGTCTAAACCAGGTCTAAACCAAGTTAAACCAGTTAAACCAGGTCTAAACCAGGTCTAAACCAGGTCTAAACCAAGATTAAACCAGGTTAAACCAGGTCTAAACCAGGTCTAAACCAGGTCTAAACCAGTCTAAACCAGGTCTAAACCAGGTTAAACCAGGTCTAAAAGGTCTAAACAGGTCTAAACCCTAAAAGACTAAACCAGGTCTAAACCAGGACTAAACCAGGTCTAAACCAGGTCTAAACTAGGTCTAAACCAAGACTAAACCAGGAAACCAGGTCTAAACTAAACCAGGACTAACCAGTTCTAAACAAGGTCTAAACCAAGACTAAACCATTAAACCAGGTCCTCTAAACCAGGTCTAAACCAAGATTAAACCAGGTCTAAACCAGGTCTAAACCAGGTCTAAACCAAGATTAAACCAGGTCTAAACCAGGTCTAAACCAAGATTAAACCAGGTCTAAACCAGGTCTAAACCAAGATTAAACCAGGTCTAAACCAGGTCTAAACCTAAACCAGGTCTAAACCAGGTCTAAACCAGGTCTAAACCAAGATTAAACCAGGTCTAAACCAGGACTAAACCAGGTCTAAACCAAGATTAAACCAGGTCTAAACCAGGTCTAAACCAAGATTAAACCAGGTCTAAACCAGGTCTAAACCAAGTCTAAACCAGGTCTAAACCAGGTCTAAACCAAAACCAGGTCTAAACCAGGTCTAAACCAGGTCTAAACCAGGTCTAAACCAGGTTAAACCAGGTCTAAACAGGTCTAAACCAAGACTAAACCAGGACTAAACCAGGTCTAAACCAGGACTAAACCAGGTCTAAAAGGTCTAAACAGGTCTAAACCAAGTCTAACCACCAGGACTAAACTAAAACCAGGTCTAAACCAAGACTAAACCAGGTCTAAACCAGGTCTAAACCAGGTCTAAAACCAGGTCTAAACCAGGTCTAAACCAAGATTAAACCAGGTCTAAACCAGGTCTAAACCAGGTCTAAACCAAGATTAAACCAGGTCTAAACCAGGTCTAAACCAGGTCTAAACCAGGTCTAAACCAGGTCTAAACCAAGATTAAACCAGGTCTAAACCAGGTCTAAACCAGGTCTAAACCAGGTCTAAACCAGGTCTAAACCAGGTCTAAACCAAGATTAAACCAGGTCTAAACCAGGTCTAAACCAAGATTAAACCAGGTCTAAACCAGGTTTAAACCAAGATTAAACCAGGTCTAAACCAGGTCTAAACTAGGTCTAAACCAAGACTAAACCAGGACTAAACCAGGTCTAAACCAGGACTAAACCAGGTCTAAACCAGGTCTAAACTAGGTCTAAACCAAGACTAAACCAGGACTAAAACCAGGTCTAAACTGGGACTAAACCAGGACTAAACCAGTTCTAAACAAGGTCTAAACCAAGACTAAACCAGGCCCAAACCAGGTCTAAACCAGGTCTAAACTGGGACTAAACCAGGTCTAAACCAGGTCTAAACCAGGACTAAAACCAGGTCTAAACCAGGTCTAAACCTAAACCAAGACTAAACCATTTATGTCACTTCAGGCTGCAGTCTGAATGTAGAATTATAGTCCAAAAATACGGTAATAAAAAGGCGCACTTACTTCATGCACCACAATAAGCAGAGTACGACGAGCGCCGCCATCAGCAGAGGAATCACAACGACGGCGAACAACATCGGGTTAAAGACTGGAACGGCGTCTGGAAGAAAAAACACAAGAGCGTTAGTTCAAAGATCCAAATCCAAAACTTTATTTGTGTAGCACATTTGACAAACAAAGCAGCTTCCAAAGCATAAAATGAAGACAACAAAAAGGTAAAATTGCTCAAATTTGGGCATATCAATCCTAAAATAATAAAACCAGTAAAATCTAATAAAAGCAAAAAAACATAAAAATTATAAAATAGGAGTAAATAGTGTTTGTAATAGTGTTTGGAGGGAACTTTTGGAGGGAATCAGAAAACACTAGACCAGTGGTGCGCAATACGTCGATCGTGATCTACCAGTCGATCGCCAAGGTCGTGTGGGTAGATCGCCGTGTCTCGTCTCGGACTCGTGTTTGGACTCGGTCTTGTCTCTCACTCGAGGTCTGACACTCGACAAGTGTGATCATATTTCATTCCGGCCGCTGCTGTTGGTAATAAACTTGTAGCGGGTGCAGGAGCGTGTGGGGCGTCTCAGTGCAGCCTGTGCGCTCATTTGAAACCCGCGGAGACTCTACGGCGCATCACAAACACACACGCTCCCTATGCACGGCTCGTCTGCGACAGCGTGTGCCCTCGTGTACCAGCGTGCATCACAGGGCAGGTTCAACTTCCTAAACATCCTACCTGTCCATCTGCCTCACGTCAGCACGCCGCCCCTCGCCTTTTCACGCTCTCGCTCCTTCCTGCGTACAGCCAACACAAGCCCCTCCCACAGTGCGGCTGATTAGAAGAGCAAGACCAAACGTGAAGCAAAAAACCAGTCTAAATTTGTGTTCCAGTGTCGGCACAAAGCAGGTCTACAGCATAGAGCGGATCTACAGAACAGACCTACTGCCACATTTGGCTGAAGTTTGTCTAACAAAAGTGACAAATGCATCTGTGTTTGTCACGATGTGCGTTTGGTTTGGTAAACGTGCAGAGGCTGGTAAATATCACTGCAAAACCAGAAAAGAATGAAACTCCAGTTTGGAACTTTAAAAAACAGGTTTAAAAATCTTCCTTCACTTTTTTTCACAGTTTTGTGTAAAGTGCCAGAGGAAGTTCTCTTAAAGAAGAGGTTCTCAAACTGTGGGGGAGGGTCCAAAAAAGGGGCACAGAGTGTTTCAGTGCAGTTTGTTTGACTTTGGATTAGATCAGGGGTGGGCAAACTTTTTGGCTCGGGGGCCACGTAGGGTTCAAAAATTTGACTGAAGGGCCGGACAGGAGACAGGACATGACGTGTTAAGAGCCCGGCTCCATTGCACTCGTATTTATGCTCATGTAGGACGAAACTTTCAGACGAGTAAGCTTCAGAAATCACAAAAAGTGAAAGACGTCTTCTCCATTCAAGTTGCCACACGCACAGTAGTAGCATGAAAAAGTGCATGTTCAGGCACCAGCCAATCAGTGAAGAGAGACATTCTGTGTTGGCGACGATTCACGAAATCGAGGATTTAAAGCCAGAACAAAGAGAATGTTTGGTGAATTTCATCAAGAAGAAAGACGTTATTGTCCTTCTTCCTACGGGATTTGGTGCATTACATACGTCACGACCAAACAGCACGGACGACTGGAACCAGGACTGACCTGAAACAGGATAAAGGACTAAAACAGGACTAAACCAGGAGACCAGGACTAAACCAGGACTGAAACAGGACTGAAACAGGACTAAACTTGTCTAGGGGTAACATCATTTTTTTAAACATTATTATTCTATTAATCAACAATACAAAAACAGTGTCTGATTTTCACTGCTTATTTTTCATAATTTTTTTTTAATTTAATATTGCTTTTTTTCAGTTTCAGGTTATTTCAGTGACCATTGTTGATTCTTCTTTCATTACCAGAGCAGAACCAACAATTTTGAACATGTCATCTTGTTTTCAGATTTATTATCTACTTAATAGTTTGGTTTTAGTTTAGTCTAGAAGGTCGTTGATTTTAAAAGAACTTGTCAAGTAAAATGATCTCGTCGCATGGAAAAGATCATTTCACTACTTTAAATCATTTTTGGATAGAAAATTACTTGAAAACTAAACCAGGTCTGAACCAGGACTAAAAACCAGGACTAACCAGGAGTAAACCAGGACTAAACCAGGACTGAACCAGGACTAAACCGGTCCTAAACCAGGAGTAAACCAGGACTAAACCAGGACTGAACCAGGACTAAACCAGGACTAAACAGGACTAAACCAGGTCTAAACCAGGACTAAACCAGGTCTAAACCAGGTCTAAACCAAAAACCAGGACTAAACCAGGACTAAACCAGGACTAAACCAGGACTAAACCAGACTAAACCAGGACTAAACCAGGTCTAAACCAGGACTAAACCAGGACTAAACCAGGACTAAACCAGGACTAAACCAGGTAAACCAGGACTAAACCAGGACTAACCAGGACTAAACCAGACTAAACCAGGACTAAACCAGGACTAAACCAGGACTAAACCAGGACTAAACCAGGACTAAACCAGGACTAAACCAGGACTAAACCAGGTCTAAAACCAGGTCTACTAAACCAGGACTAAACCAGGTCTAAACCAGGTCTAAACCAGGTCTAAAACCAGGACTAAACCAGGACTAAACCAGGACTAAACCAGGTCTAAAACCAGGTCTAAACCAGGTCTAAACCAGGACTAAACCAGGACTAAACCAGGACTAAACCAGGTCTAAACCAGGTCTAAACCAGGACTAAACCAGGACTAAACCAGGACTAAACCAGGACTAAACCAGGACTAAACCAGGTCTAAACCAGGACTAAACCAGGACTAAAACCAGGACTAAACAGGACTAAACCAGGTCTAAACCAGGACTAAACCAGGTCTAAACCAGGACTAAACCAGGACTAAACCAGGTCTAAACCAGGACTGAACCAGGACTAAACCAGGTCTAAACCAGAACTAAACCAGGACTGAACTCATTTTCAGATAGAAAAAATGTTTGGCCAAAATTGAAGATATAAACACTTAAACTTTAACAAAAAATGATTTAAAAGTCGTGAAATGATCCGTCCATGCAGCAGTTTGATAAGTTATCTTAAACCAGGTCTAAACAAACACGAGAACAGGTTAAAACCAGGAACTAAGCAACTCTAAACCAGGTCAGTAAAACCAGGAACCAGGTCTGACTAAAACCAGGTCTAAACCCAAAACCAAGATAACCATTGACTTTTAAAATTCTAAAACCATACAGGACTAAATAACCAGGACTGTAGAGAAACCAGATGTAAAAGTTAACCAGGTTTATAAACCAGGATCTGTGTTCTTAAACCAGGACCTGATCATTAAAAATTTAAACCAGGTCTAAAACCAGGACTAAAACCAGGAGGTCTAAACCAGGACTAAACCAGGACTAAACCAGGTCTACTAAAACCCTAAAAAGGAGGTCTAAAACCAGGTCTAAACCAGGTCTAAAACACTAAACCAGGTCATAACCAGGTCTAAACCAGGACTAAACCAGGACTAAACCAGGTCTAAACCAGGTCTAAACCAGGATTTAACAGGACTGAATCATACTGCGTGGACATGTTTCCTCGTCTTCTATCAATAACGTTTTTAATTTGGTTCAGTCTGGGCTTTTCAATTTTCTTTTACTGAGAAAATGAAAGGATTTTAAGTGCACCTTATAGTCCGAAAAATACGGTATTTGGAAATCCTGACTGGTGACTCGCTGCAGGCGCCGGGCTTTAGGTAAACACTCACATTTTTAACTCTTTCCCACCTTCACTCAAAACACTTTAGACCACGAAACCAGGAACCCGCGAACCCACTCATCACATTCACCCACCAGAGTACACAGAGTCCGGGTGAGTAAAGTGTCTTGCCCAACTGCACAATGGCAGCATTCATCTGCGGGGGTTGAAGTGGCCGCTGTCGGTCTGTGAGTCACTGGACCTGATCAAACACTCGCGATGTTTTATGGTGACAGCGGTGAAGAAAAAGACCTGGTTTAGTCCTGGTTTAGTCCTGGTTTACCTGGTTTAGTCCTGGTTTAGTCCTGGTTTAGACTGGTTTAGACCTGGTTTTAGACCTGGTTTAGTCCTGGTTTAGACCTGCTTTTGGTTTAGTCCTGGTTAGACCTGGATTTTAGTCTGGTTTAGTCCTGGTTTAGAACCTGGTTTAGTCCTGGTTTAGTCCTGGTTTAGTCCTGGTTTAGTCCTGGATTTAGACCCTGTTTTGACCTGGTTTAGTCCTGGTTTAGACCTGGTTTAGACCTGGTTTAGTCCTGGTTTACCTGGTTTAGACCTGGTTTAGTCCTGGTTTAGTCCTGGTTTCTGGTTTAGTCCCTGGTTTAGACCTGGTTTAGACCTGGTTTAGTCCTGGTTTCAGTCCTGGTTTAGTCCTGGTTTAGTCCTGGTTTAGTCCTGGTTTAGACCTGGTTTTAGTCCTGGTTTAGACCTGGTTTAGTCCTGGTTTAGTCCTGGTTTAGACCTGGTTTTAGACCTGGTTTAGTCCTGGTTTAGTCCTGGTTTAGTCCTGGTTTAGACCTGGTTTAGTCCTGGTTTAGTCCTGGTTTAGACCTGGTTTTTTAGTCCTGGTTTAGTCCCTGGTTTAGTCCTGGTTTAGACCTGGTTTAGACCTGGTTTAGACCTGGTTTAGTCCTGGTTTAGACCTTTTAGAGTCTGGTTTAGACCTGGTTTACCTGGTTTAGTCCTGGTTTAGACCTGGTTTTAGACCTGGTTTAGTCCTGGTCATCCTGGTTTAGTCCTGGTTTAGTCTGGTTTACCTGGTTTAGTCCTGGTTTTAGTCCTGGTTTAGTCCTGGTTTAGACCTGGTTTAGTTCCTGGTTTAGTCCTGGTTTAGTCTGGTTAGACCTGGTTTAGTCCTGGTTTAGTCCTGGTTTAGTCCTGTAGTTTAGACCTGGTTTAGACCTGGTTTAGACCTGGTTTAGACCTGGTTTAGTCCTGTTTAGACCTGTTTAGACCTGGTTTAAGTCCTGGTTTAGACCTGGTTTAGACCTGGTTTAGTCCTGGTTTAGTCCTGGTTTAGACCTGGTTTAGTCCTGGTTTAGTCCTGGTTTAGACCTGGTTTAGTCCTGGTTTAGTCCTGGTTTAGTCCTGGTTTAGTCCTGGTTTAGACCTGGTTTAGTCCCTGGTTTAGACCTGGTTTAGTCCTGGTTTAGACCCTGGTTTCTGGTTTAGACCTGGTTTAGTCCTGGTTTAGTCCTGGTTTCTGGTTTAGACCTGGTTTAGTCCTGGTTTTAGTCCTGGTTTAGTCCTGGTTTACCTGGTTTTCCTGGTTTAGTCCTGGTTTAGTCCTGGTTTAGTCCTGGTTTAGTCCTGGTTTAGTTTAGACCTGGTTTAGTTTAGTCCTGGTTTAGTCCTGGTTTAGACCTGGTTTAGACCTGGTTTAGTCCTGTTTAGTCTGGTTTAGTTCCTGTTTAGTCCTGGTTTAGTCCTGGTTTAGTCCTGGTTTAGTCCTGGTTTAGTAGACCTGTTTAGTTTAGTCCTGGTTTAGTCCTTTTAGACCTGGTTTAGTCCTGGTTAGTCCTGGTTTAGACCTGGTTTAGTCCTGGTTTAGACCTGGGTTTAGTCCTGGACTGGTTTAGTCCTGGTTTAGTCCTGGTTTAGACCTGGTTTACCTGGTTTAGTCCTGGTTTAGTCCTGGTTTGTCCTGGTTTAGACCTGGTTTAGTCCTGGTTTTAGACCTGGTTTAGACCTGGTTTTGGTTTAGTGCTGGTTTAGTCCTTTAGGTTTAGACCTGGTTAGCCCAAAATGTGAAAACAGTAAAATCCTTCTGTTTAATCCATTTATTTCAACAAAGTAACTGTAATCCAATTCCCACTCACTGAAACAGTAACTGTAACTGAATACAGTTACTCATCATTTGTACTCTGATTACTCTGGTACATGTAATCTGTTACTCCCCGACACTGCCCAGGAAACAGTTCTACTTTGCTTTTATTCAATTACAGGTGGTTTTATTGCTCAAAAACACCTTGACAAACAAACATTCTGAGTGTTTGTCCTCGATCCAGGTTCAGTTGTGATTCTAAAACCTTTTATAAACCAGCAGGAGCACAGACTAAACACTGGGACAGTTTTTTAAACGTACCGAAACGTTCCTCGGGCGTCCACTCGGTGTCTCCGTTGCTTCCGGAAACTCCTCTCATGGTGATGCTGTAGGAGCACTCGGGCCGGCGGTACAGCTCAGCGGAGAGTCCGGAGGATTCTTTTGAAAGCTGTCAGGAAGAGCAACGTTTATTTACACTTCTGCAGGACTTTTATATTTATAGAAGTTTTAACAGGAATGACCGACCGACTGTGTTTAGGTTAAAACTAGGGCCGACTGAACCAGGAACCAGGACTAAACCAGGACTAAACCAGGACTAAAACCAGGACTAAACCAGGACTAACCAGGAACCAGGACTAAACCAGGTTAAACCAGGTCTAAATTAGGACTAAACAGGATTAAACCAGGTCTAAAACCAGGACAAACCAGGACTAAACCAGGACTAAACCAGGACTAAACCAGGACTAAACAGGAAACCAGGGTCTAAACAGGTTCTAAACCAGGACTAAAAACCAGGACTAAACCAGACTAACCAGGTCTAAACCAGGTCTAGGACTACTAAACCAGGACTAAACAGGACTAAACCAGGACTCTAAACCAGGTCTAAACCAGGACTAAAACAGGTCGAAACCAGGATTTAACAGGACAAATCCTGCTGTGTGGACGTGTTCTTCTTCTTCTTCAATAATATTTTTAATTTGGTTCAGTAAAATTTGGGTTTTTATTTTCTTTTATCAGACAAAACATTTTACGTGAAGATTTCCTCGTCTTTGCTTCTCTACAGCAAATCAATAATCCAAAGTATTCAGATTTACATTACTCACTTTAAGTAATTTAATGGATTACGTTACAACTACTTCTGGTTATGTAATCTGTATCTGTAGGGGATTACATTTTTAAAGTCACCTTCCCAACACTGGTGATGTAGTTCCCTCTGTTTTTTTTTAGCTTTTACTGCACCATAACTTTTCATTTAAGCAGAGAAACTTGTAATTCAATATACAGAGATTTATTTATGTATTTATTTATTTGTTTAATAGGGACAGTGCATATTAATGAACATCTACAACACTACAGAGTAAAAATACTCATTTCCATCTGTCGTCTCTCGGCAGGAAACACCACAAATTTAACAGAAAAACACCCAACAAAAGACAAGAGCTGCTGTTTCAAGTGGGATTTGAAAGTGTCCAGTGTTGGAGTTTTTTTTATTGATAATGTGAGTTTGTTCCAGACTTAGCGCCTCTGACTGAGACACTTTGTCAATGTGTTGAGTCTGTGTGGGAGTTCAGTTTCATTTCTCTGACGGTCTTTGGCCTCGACCTGTTCAGTTTTTTTATTAAAACAAACAAAGTCCAAAGTTGGTTTCCTGGTTTAGTTTAGACCTGGTTAGTCTGGTTTAGTCCTGGTTTAGTCCTGGTTTAGTTTAGTCCTGGTTTCTGGTTTAGTCCTGGTTTAAGTCCTGGTTTATCCTGGTTTAGACTGGTTTAATATGGTTTAGTCCTATTTTAGACCTGGTTTACCCTGGTTTAGTCCTGGTTTACTCCTGGTTTAGACCTCATTTAGTCCTGATTTAGCCTGGTTTAGACCTCGCTTAGTCCTGATTTAGTCCTGGTTTCGTCCGGTTTGTCTGGTTTAGACCTGTTTAGACATTTACTAGCTGGTTTAGACTTTAGTCCTAGATCTTTAGTCCTGTTTCAGTCCTGGTTTAGTCCTGGTTTAGACCTGTTTAGAGACCGTCATTTAAGTCCTGATTTTTTAGTCCTGTCCTGTTTGAAGTCTGTTGTCCTAGATTCATTTAGTCCTGCTGGTTTGTCTGGTTTAAGTCCTGGTTCAGTTTTGTGGGCTATGTGGTTTAATTTGGGGAACTTGTGTTTAGTTTAGTGTGTGTCCCTAAGTTTTACACTGGTTTTTGTGTAAACCTGCGTGACCCTTTTTTGGCACAAACTCTGTTTATTCTGTTGTTCTGTTTCTTAGTTTAGGTTGTTTTCTGTATATTTTTAGTGTTTTGTTAATTTACCTTTACATTCCTGTTAATTAAAGATTATTAATTTTTCCATTTTACATCTTGGTTTTATTTTTGTTACTTCCCTCACCCAAACGAGCTGGTCGTAACACAAACAAAGTCCAACAAAGTCTTGTTTAGTCCTGGTTTAGACCTGGTTTAGACTGGTTTAGACCTGGTTTAGACCTGTTTAGACCCTGGTTTAACCTGGTTTAGATGTAGACCTGGTTTAGTCCTGGTTTTAATCCTGGTTTAATCCTGATTTAGATGTAAACCAAGACTAAATCAAGACTAAACCTGGATTAAATCAGGTTCTAAACCAGGTCTAAACCAGGTCTAAACCTAAACCAGGACTTAACTAAACCAGACTAAACCAGGACTAAACCAGACTAAAACCAGGACTAAACAGGTCTAAACAGGCTCTAAACTAAACCAGGACTAACCAGGACTAAACCAGGTTAAAAGTCTAAAAGGACTAAAAAAACTAAACAGATCTAAACTACTTCTAAACCAGGTTAAACCAGGTCTAAACCAGGACTAAACCGGGACTAAACCAGGTCTAAATTAGGACTAAACATATGCATATTAATGAACATCTACAACACTACAGAGTAAATATGACAGATTAGAGTAAAAATACTCATTTCCATCTGTCGTCTCTCGGCAGGAAACACCACAAATTTAACAGAAAAAAACCCAACAAAAGACAAGAGCTGCTGTTTCATGTGGGATTTGAAAGTGTCCAGTGTTGGAGTTTTTTTTATTGATAATGTGAGTTTGTTCCAGAACTTAGCGCCTCTGACTGAGACACACTTTGTCCAGATGTGTTGAGTCTGTGTGGGAGTTCAGTTTCATTTCTCTGACGGTCTTTGGCCTCGACCTGTTACAGTTTTTTAATTAAACAAACAAAGTCCAAACAAAGTCTTGGTTTAGACCTGGTTTAGTCCTGGTTTAGTCCTGGTTTAGTCCTGGTTTAGACCTGGTTTAGTCCTGGTTTAGTCCTGGTTTAGACCTGTTTAGTCCTGGTTTAGACCTGGTTTAGACCTGTTTAGTTTAGTCCTGGTTTAGAGTCCTGGTTTACCTGGTTTACCTGGTTTAGTCCTGGTTTAGACCTGGTTTAGTTTATCCTGGTTTAGACCTGGTTTAAGTCCTGGTTTAGTCCTGGTTTATCCTGGTCCTGGTTTAGTCCTGGTTTAGACCTGGTTTAGTCCTGGTTTAGATCCTGGTTTTACCTGGTTTAGTCCTGGTTTAGACCTGGTTTAATCCTGGTTTAGTCCTAATTTAGACCTGGTTTAGTCCTGGTTTAGACCTGGTTTAGTCCTGGTTTAGACCTGGTTTAGTCCTGGTTTAGTCCTGGTTTAGACCTGGTTTAGTCCTGGTTTAGACCTGGTTTTCCTGTTTAGTCCTTTTAGACCTGGTTTAGTCCTGGTTTAGTCCTGGTTTAGTCCTGGTTTAGACCTGGTTTAGTCCTGGTTTAGACCTGGTTTAGTTTAGACCTGGTTTAGACCTGGTTTAGTCCTGGTTTAGTCCTGGTTTAGACCTGGTTTAGTCCTGGTTTAGTCCTGGTTCAGTCCTGGTTTAGACCTGCTTTAGACCTCATTTAGTCCTGATTTAGACCTGGTTCAGTCCTGGTTTGAACCTGGTTTAATCCTGGTTTAGTCTTGATTTAGTCTTGGTTTAGTCCTGGTTTAGACCAGGTTCAGTTCTGGTTTAATGTTCATAATGTGGATTAAATTAAATATAAAATGTGGGACCAGCTTCTCAAATCTGCGAAACGAATCCCCCTGCAGGTACGAGTTAATCGACCGGACCGAAACCTTCCAACTTTTCCAAACCTTTTAATCTGATTTGTGTACGTGAAAAGTGCGGACACGGTCTTGCCTTACCGTTTCGCTACATTCCGTGTATTTAATTTCGTACGTCCAGTCTGCGAACTCCGGGGGGGGCCAGCTGATGTGGAACAGCTCTCCCGTCGCTTTAATCGTCCAGTTCAGAGGGTAGAGATTAACTGTGGAAATATGAATAATACGTTTAAAACACAACCAAATAAGGCCTAGGACTGAAACCGCAAACTTTATTTATATTATTTATTTATTTATCCCTTATGGCTGGAGGGACTGTGTCTCTGGACGGGCCTGGGAACGCCTCGGGGGCCCCCCTAGAGGAGCTGGAAGAAGTGTCTGGGGTGATGGAAGTCTGGGAATCTCCGCTCAGACTGCTGGACTTTTACTTCTAAGGCACGAAAAGGCAACTCGTTTCTCAGTTCTTAAACTTAAAAACAAGTAAATGCTGTTTAAAGTGGATCCTGAAGGACGCCGATTTAAGAAAGAGTGAATTCTCTAATTTTGATTTAATTTGGTGGAGTAATATTTGTTGTAAATAAAGTATAAATGATGGTTTTACTCATATTAAGAAGACATTTGTATGGACGCCCATATTCGCCAATAAATAAAAAATCAAAAGCCTCACAGAAAGTCATAATCATATGTTTAAAAGTCATAATTATGATTTTAAAAGTCATAATTTTAGGTTTAAACATCATAATTACGAGTTTTAAACGTACTCGTGTTTTAAACTTATGATTATGGCTTTTTAACTCGTAATTATCACTATTAAACTCATAATTAAAACTTTTAAACTCGTAATTTTGACTTTAAAACTTGTAATTAAAACTTTTTAACTCATAATTATGACTTTTAAAACTCATAATTTTGACTTTAAATCTTATAAATATAACTTTTTAACTCATAATTATGACTTTTAAAACTCGTAATTTTGACTTTACAACTTGTAAATATAACTTTTAAACTCATAATTATAACTTTTAAACTCATAATTTTGACTTTTAAACACGTAATTGGCTTTTAAACTTGTAATTATGACTTTTAAACCCATAATTATGACTTAAACTTGTAATTATGACTTTTAAACTCGTAATTATGACTTTTAAACTCATAATTATGACTTTTAAAACTTGTAATTATGACTTTTTAAACTCGTAATTATGACTTTTAAACTCGTAATTATGACTTTTAAACTCGTAATTATGACTTTTAAACTCATAATTATGACTTTTAAACTCGTAATTGATGACTTTTAAACTCGTAATTATGACTTTTAAACTCATAATTTTGACTGACTTTTAAACTTGTAATTATGACTTTTAAAACTCATAATTATGACTTTTAGACTCATAATTATGACTTTTAAACTTGTAATTATGACTTTTAAACTCATAATTATGACTTTTAAACTCATAATTATGACTTTTAAACTTGTAATTATGACTTTTAAACTCATAATTATGACTTTTAAAACTCGTAATTATGACTTTTAAACTTGTAATTATGACTTTTAAACTCATAATTATGACTTTTAAACTTGTAATTATGACTTTTAAACTCATAATTATGACTTTTAAACTCATAATTTTGACTTTTAAACTCGTAATTATGACTTTTAAACTCATAATTATAACTTTTAAACTCATAATTATAACTTTTAAACTCATAATTGTGACTTTTAAACTCATAATTGTGACTTTTAAACTCGTAATTATGACTTTTAAACCCATAATTATGACTTTTAAACCCATAATCATGACTTTCTGTGAGGCTTTTATTTTTTATTTACCAGCGGAAATGGGCTTCCATGCATTTGTGAAGAAAAGTTGAAAAGACAAAACACAGAGTCACAATCAAAAACAAGTGATATTAAAAGAAAACAAAAAAAACCCACAAGGATCAACATTAGCACCATTGTTATTCTATAAAAGTGGATTCAATAGACAAAGATAAATATCACGTTATACTAAAAAATATATATTCTAAACATGGATCTATCATAAAAACTGGATAAGCTCCTCCCCCTCTGACCCGACTCGAGACCGACTAGAAATCGTTAAATTTTGAGCAAATATAAAGCGTTTTGAATGATATTGGGCTCTGGAATTAATGAAGTTATACTTAAAATTTTGTTTGTTTTAATTTATATTTTGTCTCTTGTATTTACAGTACGTTGTAAGTGAAAAAATAAACACAAACTTGCTGTTCATACGCTGCTTTTTTTTTTTTTTTTTTTTAATTCTGACATTGTTTTATAGGATTTAGAGTTATAACCAGTGTTGGGAGTAACATGTTATAAAAGTAATATTTTAATCGCGCGTCACAATGCTTTTTTAACCTGGATTGAAGCGGTGGGTTTTTCGTTTTTCTTCATACAAATTCGCTAAAATCACGGCGATATCAGCAGCGGTGAAACGCCGGAGACGCGCCCACGTAGACCGTCAGGTGACCGCGAGCGAAAGGACCGACGCAGAACTCCACGCTCCACGGGCCGAACCGCAGCTGACGCCCGATTGCGCTTTGCGGAAACCCTGTCTGCAAAGCGCTTCCAAGTTCTAGTCCAAGATTAGTCCTGGTTTAGACCTGGTTTAGTCCTTGGTTCAGTCCTGGTTTAATTCTGGTTTAGTCCTGGTTTAGTCCTGGTTCAGCTCTGGTTTAGTCCTGGTTTAGTCCTGGTTTAGTCCTGGTTTAGTCCTGGTTTAGTTCTGGTTTAGTCCTGGTTTAGGCCTGGTTTAGTCCTGGTTCAGCTCTGGTTTAGTCCTGGTTTAATCCTGGTTTAGTCCTGGTTTAGTCCTGGCTCAGTCCTGGTTTAGTCCTGGTTTAGTTCTGGTTTAGTCCTGGTTTAGTCCTGGTTCAACTCTGGTTTAGTCCTGGTTCAGCTCTGGTTTAGTCCTGGTTTTCCTGGTTTAGTCTCCTGGTTTAGTCCTGGTTTAGTCCTGGTTTAGTCCTGGTTTAGACCTGGTTTAGTCCTGGTTCAGCTCTGGTTTAGTTTAATCCTGGTTTAATCCTGGTTTAGTCCTGGTTTAGTCCTGGCTCAGTCCTGGTTTAGTCCTGGTTCAGCTCTGGTTTAGTCCTGGTTCAGTCCTTTATTAGTCCTGATTCAGTCCTGGTTTAGTCTTGGTTCAGTCCTGGTTTAGTCCCTGGTTTAGTCCTGTTTTAGTCCAGATAGTCTTGGTATAATTCTGGTTTAGTTCTTATTTAGTCCTGGTTTAGTCCCTTGTTAAGTCCTTGGGTTAGTCTCTGGTTGAGTTCCTGGTTTAGTCCTGGTGTAGTCCTGGTTCAGTCCTGGTTCAGTCCTGGTTTAGTCCTGGTTTAGTCCTGGTTTAGTCCTGGTTTAGTCCATATACGGCGCAAAAGTTCAGCATCTTCACAGTTATTTTGGTGAGAGTAAATTAAAAGTAAGTTTTTAAATGTAGTAATATTGTAATGTAACTAATTACTTTGAAATGACAGTAATGAGTAATAAATAACGCATTACAGTTTTAAAGTAACTTGCCCAACAGTGGTTATAAGTACTTTTTACTTACTCCACGGGGTTGTAGTTTAGTTTTTTTTTTTGTAATGCTGCAAAACGACAGAATTTTTTTTAAAAAACTACTACTACTACTACAAAAGAATGACACGTGCACAACAGTTTCCTTGAAAGTTCAAAGTTGAACGCACACTGTTCCGCTGAAAACTCACATGAAAATAAATTAAAAGCCCCTTATTGATTTTTCAGAGTGAGAGTGCTTATGTTTGCGCAAGCCTTTTCGCAATTCTAGGAAAGCTGCTCGAGTTTAATGAAGTGCAAAATGAGGAAGGATGCGTTTCGACATCCTCGCTTCCTTTATTCTCGGTTTTGGTTTTCGGGCGACTCACGTGGGACAGTGGTGAGCTGGTAAACGTTGCGCACGATCCTGCCGCCCACCGTGGCCTTGAGGAGGACGCTGAGCTGCTGGGTCAGGTTCATCCGCAGGTGACACGTCGTCCTGTCCGCGTAACGTGGACACTCGCGGAATTTAAAGGGAGCATCACCTTCTTCGTCACTGTCTAATAAACTGTGGAAGACACAATCGAAGACACAATTTTTAGTAGGGGTGTGCAAAAATACTGAAATATCGATATATCGTATCGTTTAAAGCACAGGTGTCAAACATAAGGCCCGGGGGCCAGATCCGGCCCTCCAAGACCTTTAATCTGGCCCTCGGCTGATTTTCTACTAAAATATTTTCATTATATTTTCTATTAAAATCTTGTTAATTTTCTGTGGTGTTTATCACAGCAGCGTCTCCAGCGTCTCTGTACGTGGCCCCTCCCACCAGAGCAGCACAAATGAAGACTTGTCTCTTTCCAAACGCTCTTAAAGGACGATCGTTTTGACTGTTGACCGTGACACCCTCATCAGAAAAATGTCCAACATGAGAAAAGTGGAGCCGAGTGCAGGATTTTACAACAAAAATGGACTTATTCCTGTTTACAGACAAGTTCATGTTAAAACTTTGTGTTGAACTTGTATTTTTCTTAAAGTTTCAGGTTGTTCATAATATTATAATATTTTGTAAAAGAAAGAGTTCATCAATTAAAAAAGATTTCTGTAATAGATTTGTGTTTCTCTGCACAAATATTTGAAGTTATTGTTATTTTTGGGGTTTATATGACATGAGTTTTCTGATCCGGAGTTTGACACCTCTGGTTTAAAGGGATAAGCAAGGCAGGTTTATTTGTACAGCACAATTCGTACACAAAGTAATTCAAAGTGTTTTACAGAATAAGAAATACATTAAAATCATAATAAAAACAAATCAAAACATAAATAATCATGAAGATTAAAATTAAAAAAGAGAGACATAAATTGGAGAGAAGAGTGCGGAATGAAAACCTTTCAGTTATTTGCACAGTTAAACAGAAATGTTTTGAGTCTGGATTTAAACAGCGTCACAGAAGAGTCTGTCTCACATGTTCAGACTGTTCCAGGTTTTAGCTGCATGAACCTGAAACTCTGACTCCCCTTGTTTAGTCGTGACTCTGGGCACCAGCAGGAGTTGGTCCCTGAGCTCCTCAGAGTGTGAGATGTTCATATGACACTAACATGTCACAGATGGACTTTGGTGCTCGGCCATGGAGACACTTGTACAAACAGAGCTGCTTTAAAGTCTCTGAGCCACAGGAGCCAGAGCAGAGACCTGAGACCAGGACTTATGTGCTCGTACTTCCTAGTTCGAGTCAGGACCCGAGCTGCAGCGTTCTGGATGTTCTGGATGTTCTGGATGTTCTGGATGTTCTGGATGTTCTGCAGCGTCTCACAGCTCGTTTGGAGAGACCAGTGAGCAGAACATTACAGTATCTAACCTACTGGAGACAAACGCATGGATAAGTTTCTCCAAGTCTGATTTAGACTCTAAACCTTTGATTTTTGCTCTGTTTTTTAGATGGTAAAAGGCTGCAGATGTTATTGATTTGATGTGGCTGTTAAAGTTCAAGTCTGAGTCCATTATTACCCCGAGATTTCTTGCCTGATTTGAAGGTTTTAGAGCAGGAGTGTCAAACTCATTTTGTCTCTGTGAGACGCTGCAGAACATCCAGAACATCCAGAACATCCAGAACAGCCAGAACATCCAGAACATCCAGAACATCTAGAACATCCAGAACATCCAGAACGCTGCAGCTCGGGTCCTGACTCGAACTAGGAAGTACGAGCACATGCGTCCTGGTCTCAGGCTCCTGTGGCTCAGAGACTTTAAAGCAGCTCTGCTTGTACAAGTGTCTCCATGTCCGAGCACCAAAGTCCATCTTTATAAATATCTAATGTGAACCGATTTCAGACACTTTATTAAAAAGTACAATGATTTCCAAATGATTAAAGCCACACTATGTAACTTTTGAGGTGAAAGGTTGGCTGCTGGTCTCCATGGAGATGTTCTACGCTGGTCCTTTTTGGAGAAGTAGGTTCAGCCCGAAAGTAGGTCAAAGTTTATTGGTGACATTTTTGTTTTAGTTTGTAGTTTAGTTTTAGTTTAGTTTTAGTTTATTGGTGACATTTTTGTTTTAGTTTGTAGTTTCTAATATGACTCACCGCTGATGAAACTTCTGAAAAAAAAAATACTGTGGTGTCAAGCAAATAGGTCAGTTAATTTAGATAATTGTTGTTCTGCTCATTGTATTTATGGACAGAATTTCTCGGCGCAGTCAGGGGCCGGAGGGGGTTTGGGGACCACAGGATCATCTCTGCTGTTTGATGATGACCAGGACCTGCAGCACTGGGGAGGTTTGACCTGAGTGTGAAGCGGCTGGGATGAGGATCAGCTCCTCCACATCCAAGGTCATAGTTCTCGACCGGAAAAATGTGTCTTGCCCTCTCCTGGCGGGTGAGGAGTTCTTGCCTCAAGTGGAGGAGTTCAAGTGTGTCGGGGTCTTGTTCTGGAGTGAGGGGAGGACGGAGCGTGAGATTGACAGGTGGACAGGTGCAGCGTCGGCAGTGATGCGGCCGTTGTATCGGACAGTTATGGTGAAGTGGAGCTGAAGCTCTTGATTTACTGTCAGTCTATGTTCCTCCCCTCACTTACGGTCATGAACTCTGGGTAATGACTGAAAGGACGACATGATGGATACAAGCAGTCGAATTGAGTTTCCTTCGCAGGGTGTCTGGACGCTCCCTTAGAGACAGGGTGAGGAGCTCGGTCCCACAGGAGGAGCTCAGAGTTAAGCCCACCACGAGGAGGCCCTGGGGAAGGCCCAGGACACACTGGAGGGACTATGTCTCTGGGCTGGCCTGGGAACGCCTCGGGATCTCTCCTGAGGAGCTGGAGGACGCGTGTGTGGAGAGTGTTGGTGTGTTCTATCAGAGAAAATGACCACTGGAATCGATCGATTAAAATCACAAAAATGTATTCCCTATTCAAAACAATTCTAATACAGAGCTCTGGGTCAAATCGTTGTCCCCGACGGCCGACAGCTACACAGGACTGACTGCCTGTTTTTCCCTCAACGCAGAGATATAAAACATCAGCATGAATATTCAAATATATGTTGACCAGGTTCACGCCTTGGATCCTCCCTGAAGCATCTCCGCTTTCCTTCACTGTGAGGGGATGACTCCCAGGTTTCAATTACAGCCAAGTTTATTTTGTCTTGGTACCAGCCAAGACGACCGCAAAGGGATTTACCTTAAAAACCTATGTTTTCACACAGTGGTACCTTTAGACATATATATCAGATTTCAGTGGTTAGGCATTAACTCACTGTGAAATATTCAAACAAATATATCATTTTAGTGTTTAATATACATGTGTGGTGCACTCACAATACTCACAATACTTTATTACCGTATTTTAGGGGCTATCTTGGCCGATCTTGCCGAAAATCTTGCCGATATTTCACGCGAGCAGGTTATACCTCGTTATAAAGCTTAGACTCTCTACATTATGTTTATTTAATCCAATTAAAACAGTTGTAGGGAGTATTATCTGTTACATAAGGCTGAGTTGTTGTACAGTTGTAGGGAGTATTATCTGTCACATACGGGTGAGTTGTTGTACAGTTGTAGGGAGTATTATCTGCCCCTCTATAGTCTGGTGCAGTGGGTGAGTTGTACAGTTGTAGGGAGTATAACCCATTACATAAGGGTGAGTTGTTGTACGCTTGTAGGGAGTATTATCTGTTACATAAGGGTGAGTTGTTGTACGCTTGTAGGGAGTATTATCTGTTACATAAGGGTGAGTTGTTGTACAGTTGTAGGGAGTATTACCCATTACATAAGGGTGAGTTGTTGTACGCTTGTAGGGAGTATTATCTGTTACATAAGGGTGAGTTGTTGTACGCTTGTAGGGAGTATTATCTGTTACATAAGGGTGAGTTGTTGTACAGTTGTAGGGAGTATTATCTGTTACATAAGGGTGAGTTGTTGTACAGTTGTAGGGAGTATTATCTTTAAATCTTAGACTCTCTACATTATGTTCATTTAATCCAATTTTCAGACAGATAAATGTCCAAATATGTGGCTCCACATCAGTATTTATCTGCGGAGTCATTTGTCTGTGTGTGTCCGTACTGTCCCTGAACACACCACAGAGTCATTAAATGGTTTATTTTTGAACTTTTTTCACAAATAAACCGCGTGGGACTTTAAATGAAACCCAACAGTGTGATGGGTGAGTGGTTTTGTTTGTTTGTTCGTTCACGGTGACTCTGGGCTTTGTTCAGTTGTGGCGTGTAGGGAGGGTGTGTCTGGGACCAACGGATTGTCGGCGTGTTCGCAGTGACTCAGTTGTTCAGTCGTGTCTAGAAGCGGCACGTCGCGCTCGCTTTTTCAGTTCGTTCCTCCGTTCCGTTCCTCGTCGGCGTGGAGTGATGAGTGTGTCTGTGGGTGTGTTTCGCCGTGCGGTCGCTGTCTGCTCCGTGTGTGTTTGTGGCTTTGTAGTTTACTGGAGTCGTACTGGGACACCTGAGTGGATTCGTGTATGGGGCGCTCTGGATTGTGGCGCGCGGTCGTTTTTTGATGCAGTTAGAGGCTTAAGAGCGCGTCTAATCGCCCGGAAAATACGGTACTTGTCTTAATTTAATACATGTATCTAATGTCAAGTATAAAAGTAGAGTTTATGTATTACTACAGTCCAAATGCTTAAAAGTGCACTGTGTAACTTTGCTGGTGGAGGGTCCATCAAATAATTTTCTCTGTGAAGAAAATGTTCCACAGTGTGACATTAAACAGCTCTAAAGTTTATACAATTACATGTGGTTTTATTGTTAAAAAATACCCAGAAAAACAGACATTCTGACTGAGCGGGGTCGCCTCCCCACAGATCTGACCTGTAACTTTGTCCGGTTTGGTCTCCATGGTTGCTCGACCGCACCTGTACTCCTGTTTTGTTTCTACCAGCGTTTTTTGAGCATTTATTTTACTGTTACACAAGTTACGATGTGTTTTGAACTTAAGATGAGCAAAGGTTTTGTGACGTTTTTTCAAAGACTAATAAATATTCAAATCCTTGTACCTGACCCTGAATTTAGACCAGGAGCGTCAGCAGCACATTCTCACGTTTAAACTCTAAACTCTGTGGAT